AAACTCCACCCAATTCTCCAATATCCTCTCTTACCCCTAACCTATTTGTGTGGTGTGTGTGTGTGTGTGTGTGTGTGTGTGTGTGTGTGTGTGTCTTTTTGAGACAGGCCCTTGCTTTGCAGTTCAGGCTGGCCTTGAGCTTACTTTGTAGCCCAGGCTGGTCTTGAACTGAACTCAAATGATCCTCCTGTCTGAGCCTCCCAAGTGCTGGGATTACAGGCGTGGGCCACCATGCCTGCCTCTCCTCAACTTATTTCTAAAGCCAAAATGTGTCTCTGAACTTCTAAGCTTGCCTCTGCTCCTTAAAACCTGTATTTGCTTCTCCCAAACTTTATGGCTACATCCCAAACCTTTCTCTCCTTCCTCAGCCCCATAACCCTCAGATGCTACCTCTAAGCCTCAAGCCCTATTTCTGCCCCTAGACCTTCAGACTGCTCCTTACAGGCTTGTGAGAGCCTCCCTTGAGGGATGGACTAGGATATTACCTGGACCGAGGGGCTGGGCTGAGGGAAGGTTGAGGGCGCCAGGCTGCTGCCTGCCACCTCCGCAGCTGGGAAAGCAGTACTTACTCTAGTGGGGCAGCTGATAAGGAGCTTTCATATCCCCCAGCCTCAGAGATAAACTTTATCTCTGTTCAGAGAGTGATAACTGGTGGGGGGGTTGGGCCCCTGCCACAGAGGGGTGGGCAGCTCTAGACCCACCAAGGTGTGAGGTACAGGGGAGCAGTGAGGCTGGAGGTAGATTATGGTGGGCGAGGATGAGGGAATGATAGAACAGTGATGGCGGAGAGAGGAAGAGCAAGACACACACAGTGAGACAGGAAAAGAGAATAGAGCTGGGGAGAAGCCAGAGACAGGAAAAAAAAAAGCAAGAGATGGAAGGGCCCATTGTGGTGGCCTATGCCTGTAATCCCAGCAGCCTGGGAGGCTGAAGCAGAAAGACACTACTTTATGAGCATCTACTGTTTTCTCTCCTTCCGCATCTCTCTGATCCCCCTCCATCGCCTCTTTCCCTTCCCTCTCTGAGCTCTCCTTGTTCACATTTAGGTCCTTCCTGCTTTCTCCCTCTCCACTCATCTTTCAGGAGTTCAGTGTGAAGGCCCTGGGTTCACTCCTGAGAGGGAGAGGGAAAGAGAGCATGAAGAATTGTGGAGAGACAGAGACAAAGTGTTAGAGACAAAGAGGGAAGTGATAGGAGATGAGACAGAGGCCTCAAAGATGGAGAAGTAAGCTTTGTTCAAAGGCAGATGGGAACCCTGGGGTCAGAAGGGCGGTGGGCACAGGCTGTCATTCCCAGCACAGCTCCAGCTTGGGTTCATTCCTTGTCTGGCTACACATCTGGCTGCTTGAGGGTGGCCTTCTCCTCCATCTGCTCTCCACTCTGAGACAGGACTGCAGTAGGCAGGGCCAAGGTGGGTTCCAGACTGCTTGTCCTCAGCCCAGGCCCAAGCCATGCACAGCCAGGACTGCCCAGGACCATGGAAGAGTGAGAGGTGTGGCGGCAGGGCCACAGGGCTCAAAGGGAGAGAAGTAGTGGGGATGTGGTGGGAGCCACAGCAAAAGCAACAGCCAGGGCCCGGGGTGATAGCTCTGTAGTATAAGTACTTGCCTGGCAAGCGCAGGGTCCTGAGTTCAATCCCTGGTACTGTCAAAAAAAAAAAAAAAAGCAACAGCCAGAGAACTGCAGAGATGTCCAGAGAAATATGAGTGGAGAAGGAGAAGGCAGGAGGTACCTAAGAGAGGGAGGGGAGGAAGGGAATGAAGGGGGGCCCAGGGAGAGACGCAGAAGGACAGAAAACCAGAGGGGAAACAGTAGACATAAAAACAAAGATGGAGAGGGCATGGGAAGATGGGAAAACAGTCAGGAAAAAGACCCAGGGAGGCAGAGGGAGAGACACAAGGCAAGAAAGAAGGTCTTTCCTACTTTCCCAGGTCTTATTTCACCCCCCATCATAACTTCCAATAGAAAAGATAGGGAAACTGAGTCTTGAGACTGGTGACACTTGGAGCCTTGGGGGCCAGAACTGTGGCAAGCCACCCAAGGGTTGGGGGACTGCCTCCCACCTGTCACCCTCCTCAGAGGAAGCCAGTTGCCTTGGGGTGATTTCAAAAGTTGGGCGGGGATGGCAGAGATAAGCAGTGGGGGGGTGCTGGGAGGAACTAAGGGGGCCTCTGTCTGCAGACCCAAAGGGAGGAAGGGGGTGAAGCCGGAAACCATGGGGTTTCTGAGAAAGTCAGAGGGCAAGATGCAACAGATAGATGCAGAGTCTGGAGTTGGGGAGCATGGAGAGCAGAGCCCAAGGCCCTGGGAGGAAGGACTAAGGGCTTCAAGGAAGTTGAGTTACGCAGCTCGGCCCATCCTGCACAGACCCTCCTAGAGGAGGGAGAAGGGAAGGATGGGAGTAGGCAGAGGAAACGGAGGAGGAAGAGCAGGAAAGGGAAGAAAGGACGAGGGAGAGGAGCAAGAAAAAAGGAAAGAAAGATGAGTAAAACTGAGGGAAGAAGTGGAAAGAGAAGGAGAAGAAGCAGGAGGGGAGAAAAAAGAAGGAAAGAGAACTGGAAGAGGGGATGTAGGAAAAGGAAGAGAGATAGTGAACAGTGAGACACAGAATGAGCAGGGGAGAGAAGGAAGAGAGCAAGAAGGGGAAAAGGAGGAGGAAAAGAACATGAAGTAGAAAAGAGGGAGAAGAGAATGAAGCATGGAGAAGGAAGGAAGAGGGAGAAGAAGGGAAGAAAGAGGAGTTGGGAGGAGGAAAGGTGGAAAGAAGGGAAGAGGAGAAGGGATGGGGAGGAGGAAAAAGAGGGAAAGGAAGACAAGGAGAAGACAGTGGAGAGTGGAGGGAAAGACAATAGCTGAGGAGAGAAAATGGTGGCAAAAAAGGTGGAGGAAGGACAGGAAGTGGGAAGGAACTGGAGCTAGGAGGTGCAGGTGTGAGAAGGGAGGGGAAGTGGAGGAGGGAAAGGAAGAACATGGAGATGAGGAGCTGAGTAGGAGGGCAGAGGAGGAAAGAAGGGGCTGGTAGGAAAAGGGGAAGGAGGGTGTGCATGTCTGAGAACCCCGCCTGTCCTCACAGGTTAACCCCCAGAGGCCCCATGGAGTTCTCTGGCCTGGGAGCCCTGGGGACCTCAGAACCCCTACCCCAGTTTGTGGATCCTGCCCTGGTGTCCTCAACACCTGAGTCGGGGGTCTTCTTCCCATCTGGGACTGAGGGGTTGGATGCAGCAGCCTCCTCCACGGCCCCCAGCACAGCGACTGCTGCAGCTGCCACACTGGCCTACTACAGGGACGCTGAGGCCTACAGACATTCCCCAGGTAACTTTGCAGGCTGCCTGCTGTTGGGGCCATGGAGCTCCTCGGCTAGGTTGAAATCAACACGAAGTGGTCACCTTGGAAATGGGCGGAAGCTTCTCACACGGATGTGCTGACACCTTTCTCTAGTTATGTGCACACCTGGAAGCCAGATGTGGTACATACCTGTAATCTAAGCACTCTGGGAGGCTGAGGCAGGAGGATTGCAAGTTCAAGTCCAGGCTGGGCAACTTAGAAGGACCCTGTGTAAAAAGAAGCAAAAAATAAAAAATAAAAACCCATTAGTCCATATGGTTGGAAGCTATTGCACTTGCCATAGTAACCAATGGGACTGCAGATCCAGGAGTTATCCCTAGGCCAGCAGCTGTTTTGGTAGCCTTTGGAAAGGCTGGAAATGTGGTCATGGTGTCCAGGCTGTTGGACACCACTGCACCCTGTAAGTAGACTGATTGCAGACTGATCTGGTCCCTTCTTTCCCCTTCTTCCCCTCTCCTGCCCCCAACAGTCTTTCAGGTATACCCGCTGCTCAACTGTGTGGAGGGGATCCCAGGCAGCTCACCCTATGCTGGCTGGGCCTACAGCAAGCCAGGGCTCTACCCTGCTGCTACAGTGTGCCCCAGCCGCGAGGACTCCCCTCCCCAGGCCCTGGAAGCTACAGATGGCAAGAGCAGCACCAGCTTCCTGGAGACCCTGAAGACAGAGCGCCTGAGCCCAGACCTCCTCACCCTGGGGCCTGCACTGCCTTCATCACTCTCCGTCTCCAGCAGTGCTTATGGGAGCCCTGACTTTTCCAGTCCTTTTTTTTCTCCTACTGGGAGCCCCCTCAATTCAACAGCCTATTCCCCCAAGCTTCGAGGGAGTCTGCCCCTGCCCCCCTGTGGTGAGTGTCTTGAAAAGGAACTGGGAGGTTAAGGGGGATGAAGCAAAGTTAAACTGAGCCTGGCTCCCTTTTCCCCACTCTTCACCCCGTCAGAGGCCAGGGAATGTGTGAACTGTGGAGCAACGGCCACTCCATTGTGGCGGAGGGACAGGACAGGTCACTACCTATGCAATGCCTGTGGCCTCTATCACAAGATGAATGGGCAGAACAGGCCCCTCATCCGGCCTAAGAAGCGCCTGGTAAGACTGCAGGCCTGCCTTACTGGGTGGGGGCCTCATGATGCCACATGGCAGGGGAACCATCCTCAGACATAGCAGAAACTGCTGCCTGCCACCCTACGTAGCAATCCCATGCTAGTCCTATATGAAAGTCCTTCACTCATCCCCCATCCAGCCAGGAACTGCTGCCCTTTTCCTAGCTAGGAACCCAGTTCTGTGTAGGGAGTTCCATCCCCAACTCCTCAAAGGCTTCAAACAGGGACAGGGATATCACTTAGTGGCACAGTGCCTGCTTGGCAAGTGCAAGGTCCTGAGTTCAATTCTCGATACAAAAAAAAACCCAAGGCTTCAAATAAGCCCTGCCCTGGGGCCTATCCCAGATGTGCTGACTTGGTTGAACTGGGGTGCTGCCTGGGCATTAGGAGTTTTATCATTTTGGCAATGCTGGGGTGGAACCCAGGGAGTCACATACACTATGCAAGTGCTCTACTGCTAAGCAGCACTCTTGGCCTTGAGACTTTTTTAAAACTCCCCACATGGTTCTGATGTGTGGCCAAATTTGAGAACCACCAATATAGTCCTCCATAGAATACAAAGTGAAAATCCTCTGTCCTGGTTAGGAACCCCTGCCTGCAACCTGATCCTTACCTCTTGGGCCCTCCCATCAGGCACTCAGAGCCCTGATCCCCACTTCCATTCCCCAAAGCCCTGATCTCACACCCTGTCATCCCCAGATTGTCAGCAAACGGGCAGGTACTCAGTGCACCAACTGCCAGACAACCACTACCACACTGTGGCGCAGAAATGCCAGTGGAGACCCCGTGTGCAACGCCTGTGGCCTCTACTACAAGCTACACCAGGTGAGCCCTGCTTTCCTATCCTCGTGCCGTGCTCCCTCCTCACTCAGCCCCATGTCTACCTGAACCTTCTCTGCTCTTTTCCTTTTACTTCCCTCTCACTTTCCTTCCTTCCCACTTTTCTCAGCCTCCTCTTTCCATTTTCCTTCTCCACTCCATCCTCCTCCCCATATCTCCCATCTCTTTCCTTTTCCCCACTCTAGTTACCCAATAACTTCTACCCCTTTACTCTAGGCCTTGGGTAGCTCCTGTCAGCTTTGGGGACTTCCAATCTCTAGCCCTTACCACCTCTGATTCCTAAGGGTGGTAACTGTTCCAGACTCTGGGGCATGTTCCCCTAGTCCTTGAACCAAGCCCCTATTCTTAGAGAAATGGGGTAGAAAGGCTGTCCCTGGCCCAGACAGACACAAATGGCTGGAGTTGGGAACAACCATGACATTTCTTTGGGCAGGTGAACAGACCACTGACCATGAGGAAGGATGGTATTCAGACCCGGAACCGCAAGGCATCTGGAAAAGGGAAAAAGAAGCGGGGATCGAGTCTAGGAGGAGTAGCAGCAGAAGGACAAGCTGGTGGCTTCATGGTAGTGGCAGGTGGCAGTGGGAGTGGGAATTGTGGGGAAGTAGCTTCAGGCTTGACATTGGGTCCCCCAGGTACTACCCATCTCTACCAAGGCCTGGGCCCTGTGGTGCTGTCAGGGCCCGTTAGCCACCTCATGCCTTTCCCAGGCCCCCTTCTGGGGTCAACCACAAGTTCCTTCTCCACAGGCCCAGTGCCTCCCACTACCAGCACCACTGTGGTGGCACCACTCAGTTCCTGAGGGCACAGAGCATGGCCTTGGAGGCAGTGGTGGTGTCCTCCTCCTCTTATAGCCAGCAGTCTGTGTGACCGGACCCTCTGGACCCCATACACTCCCTGGCCTGGGCCTTCAAAGTTTTTGTAAAATAAAATAATAATAAAACTGGAGGTGTGAGTCTACATATGAGTAAATGGCCTTATGTGTGGTGTGTGGCACTGTGGTTCTCTCATGACAGCTGTTGGCTACAGTGTACAAGCAGCATGATGCTGTGTGAGGTGGTACACGTCACCCTCCATGACTTAAAGTTTGGATATAGAAATGTAACAGCATATGCAAGACTATGTGGACAGCATCCAGTGGTTCCATATAGCATGGTGAGATGACATGTGACCAGCCACCTAGGGACAAGGCAGTGTGACATGGTACATATGATATCAGGTGACCTGAGGATAGCATATCTATACAACAGTGGGGAGGAAGAGGCCTGTGGGGTGGTGCAGTTGTGTGTGACTCCATGGTCTGTGAGAAAGTATGAGAGAACACTATGCACGGGCATGGAATCTGAGGGATACAGACCTTTGGAATGTTGACCCAGAGTGTGCATGACAGTGTGTGAAGATGCTCAGGAACAACAATAGTTCCTTGCCAGTCTGGCAAGTGTATGGGTGTGCATGTGTGTACATCTGTGTGCCATTCCCAGGTGAAAGGGAACTTCCGCCTTCAGGAGAGCAAAGAAAAGAAGTGTAGGATTGGGACTGGCAGCTGTCAAGATCAGAAGGCCAATGCTGGAGGCTGGGCTGGTCCCTGTGCCTTCTGGTCAGTTATCTCCTTGCCCTCGGCCAAGCTCCGAGCTCCTCAGCCTGAAGCCCTGTGGAAAACGCAAGAGGATAGGGGAGATCAGGACACAGAGCTAGGGAGTTCCACACAGTGCCAGCACCCTCCCCAACAAACTTTACCTGAATGAACTGCTCCTCTCAAAGACAAATCTGTCTCTTAACAAGCACCTGGAGGCATACTGGAGTTGGGGACATCCAAAGGCAGCAGGTCTTAGGCTCACCAACACCACAGAGCTCAGCATGGGGCTGGTGAGGTAGTCTTGAGAGTCCACTTGACCCCTCTTCCAGCTGCTGCCCACAGCAAATGGCACCATTTCCTGAGGGCTCCCAGTGGGATCAGATGACACACTGAGGGGCTTTGGCAGCTTCTATTCCATTAATATCTGGAAAAAAAAATACCCTGAGGAAAAGAGGCTCATACTCTTTTCACTAATGAAAAAGTGAGGCTTTTAACTGACAAGTACCTTGCCCTGACCACATCAATTTAAGGAGTGTTATTTACACTTTATTGAGTTGCTTCTCCATGTCTTCTACCCTAGAGCTCCAGGGAACTGTGGGAGCCATGGGCCCTGAGCAGATGATGGATAAGAAACTATCCTCAGGGAACAGGATCTTGTCAGCTAGTTGTCACAGCAATGCCATGGAGCAGCCCACCACAGCAGCCTATGCTCCTTACAGATATTGCCCAGAATGGTCCTGATGCTTAAAACCCACACCCTGAGGAAGCCCCCATACTCTCACATGCATTTATTTTTTAGAATGTTGGGAATGGATCCCAGGGCCTTGCACATCAGTGCTCTGTGCTGATCTACATCCTCAACTGTTCTAAAATTTTATACTTTTTTTTTCCTGGAACCGGGGATTGAACTCAGGCCCTTGCCCTTGCCAGGAAAGCACTTATTCTACTGAGCCATCTCCCTGGTCCCTAAAATTTTATTCTTTCTTTTTTTTTTCCTAAAATTTTATTTATTTATTTATTTATTTGTATTGGGGATCGAACTCAGGACCTTGGCTTGACAGGCAGGCGCATATGCTGCTGAGCTATATCCTTAGCCCCAATTTTTGTTTTTGAGACAAGGTCTTCCTATGTAGTGCAGGCTGGTACTCAGATCGATCCTTCTGCCTCAGCTTCCCAAGTGCTGGGATTACAGGTGTGCACCAACACACCTGGCAACAACCAAGTGACTTTGTGAGACTGTTTCAAAATTAAAAAGAGGGGCCGGGGAGATGGCTCAGCAAAATAAGCACTTCTCTGGCAAGCGCAAGGGCCTGAGTTCAATCCCCAGTTCTGAAAAAAAAAAAAATTAAAAAGAGCTGAGAATGTAGCTCAGCGTGAAGACCCTGAATTTAATCCCCAGAAGAAAAACTCTTTGTTGAATCTCAGCAGAAATGCTTTACATATTTATAGGAATCCCTCTTGACCTGACACAGGAACCCTCATGGGATTCACTGTAGTGGCCCTTGCCCTGGCATCCCTGTCCTCAGCCTGCATAGGAACCACTGTCCTGAACCTACAGAAAAAACACTAACCTCTAAACCTGTAGGGATCTTCCTTTGATTCCCAGCAGGACCCAGTGTCTTAAGCTGCTACAGAAACCCCTGCCTTTATACTCAATGGGAACCTTTAGTTTGTCTCTTTGAAGGAATCCAAGGAATGAACCTATATAAAACCCCCTACACTATAAGGGAACCTGCTGTGACCTCACGAAACAACCCATAATCTAAGCTAGGCACAGCAGTACACATCTGTAGTCCTAGCTACTTGGCTGTTGTTGGTTGTTGCTGCTTGCAGTGCTGGGAATCAATCCCAGGGTCTCACACATAGGCATATGCTCTATCATGAGCTACACTCCTAGCCCTAGGATTCTGATGTTTTCCTTTTTCTGTTCTTTTCTTTTGCTGTGCTGGGGATGGAATCCAGACCCTTGCGCATTCTAGGCAGGTGTTTTACCACTGAGCTACAGCTCTAGTCCATATCCCAATTACTCAGAAGTCTGAGTTAGAAGGATCACTTGAGTCTACAAGTTCAAAGCAAGCCTGGGCAACAATGATACCTCACCTTGGAAAGAAAAAAAAATATCACAGAGACTATATACAGTCTGCAAAATCTCCACTATTTACTACTATTTGGAGTAGTAACTTGTAGAGAAACTTGGCTGATTCCTGCTCTACAGGAACCTGTCTTCCGACCAAACAGGAAAATGAACATTGCTGGGCCTAGTAGCCCACACTTGTCATTTCTGTACTTGGAAGGCTGAGGCAGAAGGATCACCACTAGTTTGTGACCAGCCTGGGCTGCATAGTGAGTTCCAGGCCAGCTTAAACTACATAGCAACACTGTCTTAAGGGGAGGGGGAGGATGACACACTTGACTCCTTAGTCTCTTCATTACTTTGCAGACAACAAAACTTCAGAATACTTTTCAGTAAATATCACTGTATGTTTTCTTAAGTGTAGAGAATTAAAGATCCTGGGACTATGAACTTCTTGCATTAAGACAAAAGTCATGCTTGGATGGAAAGAGTGAAAGCTAAGAGGCTTAAACTGGTATTTTAAAAAGGGTCAGAGGGCCTGGCTACTGGGCGGCAGAGCTGTCAATCTGTGTGTTAAGTCAGCAATGCTGAACCCCAGAATGCTTATCTCTCTGGTCCCAGCCTACTGCAGGGTAGGAAATGGTGGAGAATGAGAAAGGGAGATTAGGGGGGCAAACTGGCCTCCTGCGGGTCTGATATTTAGACAGAGGGTGGGAGATGCACGGGGGTGGGCACAAAGACAACTCCCTTTACTTCTCAGGTGCCCATATGCCTTCTACTACAGCTTGAAACCAGAGATTACCCGAGGAGGGAGCACGTAGGGAGAGCCACTAACCATGAGATATTCCCCCTCCGAAGTCCATCTTGGCCTGCACTATTATTATCACAATTCTTTAGATGAGGAAACTATAAACACAGAGCTGTTCAGTAGCCCACGGTCACATGGCTAAGACCCATAACCTCAGTTTCCTTATCTGCAAAACAGCCTTAATAATGGGAACTATCTCACAGAACTGTGGTTTTCAGCAATGCCTGTCAATAATTGCTAATACTACCATGACCCGTCCCTGCGGGGAATT